CTGGTCGGATTAATAATTCCTGGATTAATTAAAATTCGGCTAGAACGCGGGCGAAATAAGGGCGCAGCGAAGCGGGAGTATCCGGACGATGGAATCGATATTAACCGGAACGAGTATAATTGTGAATTAATCGAATCAGCCGTAAAATGCGACCCGTCAAATTCGTTGAATATCATTTTCGAATCGTCGTGGAGGTATCCACCCCTTCTCTTTTATATAAAGTCACCCCCTTGCGTTCCATCTCCCTTCTCGTCTACCGCTCGTGCTCGTTTCACGGCCATTTTGCCGCTCTTTGTGCAAATAAAAGCGATCGATTGTAAATAATCGTGACGCGACTCGATATTATATGAAAAATTATGGACACTGTCTTGAATATTCATCAACGATACTAACGGTCGATCAGAGCGGCAAAAATTCTCTCTCTCTTTCTCTCTTTTATTATGTAGGAAACGTGGACGATAAAATTGAATACAATTATTATGGAGAGGAGTATTTTTTCCATTCGATTCGATAAACGATGATTATTTGTTTCATTTACTGTCTTTATTTCTTTCTTCTTCTTCTTCTTCTTTTTTTTTTTTTTATTCATTGTTCAGATAAATTTGAAACAAAATATATAAATAGTGGAAATTTGGTGAAATTGAGAATGTTTCGCGAGATTTTTCGCGATGTATAAAGCAGTTCTTTTTTTTATCGCAGTTGGTTTCATCGGTTGAATCGTTTAATCGTTTATAATCGGAATTTTGTTCGATATGAGATAAAGGGATTATTATTCTGTACAGTGTTTTCCACTTTGGTCTAAAATATCGGAATCAATTGCTTTTTTTTTTCCTTTTTTTTTTCTTTATATGATAGTTATTATTTTATTTTTATATACTAGGAAAAATTGTTATTTGAATTATTGATATCGAAAAAAAAAACAGATTATAAAAACTTTCAAATAGAGAACTTAATATTTATTGATTTAAAATTTGTCTCGAAAAGTGTCTCGAAAAATTCAACGATCGATAAATTTGATAAAATGGTATCTCGATAAAATAATATTATTTTGTTCAAAGTCGTAAATAATATTTCTCACATACTCGTAAAAATTCTTATTTTTAACGTTTTATATAACGATGATGTAACAAACATGTGAGGATTCTTTGAAAGATCTCAACCTCGACAGATTAAGTAAACACGAATACCTGGCTGACAAGGTTTCAGGATAATTAAGTGTTCAGCCTCTTCGTTAAAAATTCGATGGCAACGTGGATAAGTGAATTAGAAAGGCGTGGGACCAGACATCCTTTTAGTGCAGCCATTTACCTTTCCCAATTTTCTGTCCTTCCTCTTTATATTCCACTAATATTTCCAGTATAAAAACGTTAATGAAGAAAGCGTTTAAAAAAACCTGATCTTGCAATTACGATCATTTTTACAAAGAGAAGAACACATTTTCAAAATTTATATTTTCCAATATCAATCTTCCCTCTTTTTCTACACCTACATTTTATCAAGATATTCATTATGTTCAAACCATTCAAAATATAAATCTCCAAAAATTTCTACTAAAATCACTCGCTAAACTTATCTTCTTTCTCTCCTTCAAACTCTATATTCCATTAAAATTCTTTGTTCGTCCCAAGAATCATTTACTACGAACCAATATACGAAGCAACATCTCGCTAAATTAAACCCAACCCATGCTCATTTCAAAGGCATAGTAGAAACTCGCATCCTACTTTCTTCAAACGGTCCAACTTTTTCCCATTTAAATTTGGATCGCAACGGTGTTCACTTCACGAATCATTACCTTCCACGCCACTTAAACAGGTCAACACCATCCCCCGAAAGCAACACCTTGCCATAAAAGGCCCATGACGCCCCCGCGCTACGCAAACTCGTTCCGATCGTGTACCACCGGTAAACAGTTTCGACACGGCTTATTAGGCCTGCCCTGAATAATTGAGCACCGTGTTAATTAACTCGACTTCTCGCCCCTTTCGAATTAAACATCAGGGGGTGATGAGCGACGCTCATCTCGAATCCAGACCATCGAACGATTAAGTTTAAAACGACAAGAATCGCTCCCTTTCGCTTGCTAATAATGGAATTGCTTTTTTCTTCCTCTCTTGTCGATGAATATTCTAATTAGATATGCATTGTACAAGATGTCTAGTAGGAATTTTATAAAAAAAAAAATTTCTCTATTGTACTGCATATATTAATAATATTTTTCTCTGGATGGATGCGTAGAGTTACGAAAGTTAATTTGCAATGCAATCGATGCGATAAAAATTAGCGATCTTTTGTATTATTATCTTTTTCTTTGCTCGAATTTACTCAAAAATATTATTTAAATTGGTTGTTCATTCTTCAGAATATACGTTAATGAATATGCATATTTGGAATCTAATTGGAATAATTGCTATTATTTCGCACAATTATTGTGACAGGCATAATTTATATTATTATTATTATTTCAACACATTGTCGATTATTTCGTTAATCGGTTTATAATGCTACATATTTTATCGATATAAACACAGTGCAGAACGTAGGAATATTAAATCTTTCCAACCTCTGCCAATCGTATCCATACCCTCCCCATTCTCTGTCCAAATCTCTCGTCTCACCCTCCTCCCTCCAAAAAAAAAAAGAGAACAGAAATCACCAGCAGCCCATCTTTCAGAATCTTTTCAAACAAATCGATGCCAGGGATTTCGTATCTCTCAAAGGATCGAATACGAGGGTGTGTCGAAACGAGTGGAAAGAGAGTTCTTCCTCTCGATGGTGGTCGAAGTTTGACTTGCAGAGTGCTAATATTAAAGTTTCGTGTCGCGGGGGAGAGAGGTTCCACGGCTTGGCGATCGAGTCCATCGAGGGGCGAGAAGAGGGGAGAAGAAACACTCCTTCTCGCGCATCGGCCTCCTCTCGATTAGATTAGAATTTGTTAGGGGTGTCGACCGGTAACTTCGTCAGAGGAACGCTGTCAGTTTTGTTTCATCGCTGCTGGGCACGGCAGCTTTACGAGAGGGTGGAAAGTTGCTCGTGAGAAATTCCGTTTCGAGAAGTTTCCGGCTGAATACCGACTTATGAGAGACGACAAGCTCTACGGGGATGAGGTTGAATTAGCTCTGGCCTTAATACGTCTTCCCAACTTTTTTCCTTCGTTACGTTCTTTTTTTTTTTTTGTACGTTCTTCTCTCTTGGATCTTGTTTTTCTTTTGTTTGTGGAAAGGGATGTGACATTTTTGGGTTTGACTTTTGCTTGTATAGATTAGATGAGAGGTGTAATTTGTTCATGCACTTGAGTTTTCTCAGTCAAAATATTTTCTTTTTTTCCTGTTCAGAGGAATATATCATTTAGAATATTCTATTAACGGTAAGAATAATTGTTAAGACGAAATAATCGTCGAAACGTGGATCAGAAGATGTTTTATAATATAAATACGTAAACAAACCTAATCTAAATGCGATTCAATTTTAATTTAAATTATTATAATAAATTAATGATATACTGTTAACAATAACGATATTGTAGCTTTAAAGTCAAACAATTTCAAAAATTCGTTATCAAAATTTTCATGCACTGAACAACGTCGCACATTTCGCTTGATTCAATTCTCTCTTCGAGAGATTAAATTCGACGAACATCTCGCCATCTGCTTAGGCTTGAAAACAAGGGTGAGAAGAAACTCTAACAACATCGAATTGGAAAGGGGCTCTTAACGCTAGCTCTTGGTTCTTCCAACGTTTCAAACGTTGGCGACACATCCGTGGAAACAGATTAGAACTTGTTGGTGGTGTCGCGTCTGAACTTCCGTTGGAGAACGTGGTAAGCCTGTTCTAATTGCCACTGTACACGGAAACCGTACACAGAGGCTATTAACACGAAGGAACGCCACGGTAGAGATAATGGAAACGAAAAGGGGTTTGATTGCGAGTTGTGAAAACTTTTTCATTTTTAGTTCTACTCTACTAGAACGTGTTGAAGCTATTTTCATTTGTATCAATTTGATATTTTATCTGGTTTCAAAGATATCTCTTTTTTTTCTAAAGTTTGAATTATAATAAGGAATAAGAATAATATAACATGTAATGTCGTGTAATTCAAAATATACTGTTTATTGTAATAACATAGGGAACCATGATAAAGGAAACTATAATTTTGCAAATATTGGAATTTTATTTAAAAATCATTAAATTCAATGAATTAAAAATTCAAAATTTCTTAGTATATTGAAGTATGTAAAGATTATAAAATCATTCAATTTGTTTGTTACCAATGAAATTTCTTCAACTATATTTCCCAGAAACGATTTAAGTTCACAAAAATTTTTTTTTATAAACATCAAGTTGTAAACTCGTGAAACGTTTTCTTCTGAAACATATATACGTGGGTTTATGAAAATTCTAATCCTACGAATTTAACGTTACAATAAAAACTTCAGGAATATTTTTTTTTTCTCGAAAAAATTTCCAAATTTTCGTAGGAAAGAACGTTATCGCCAAAAAAATGGTCGAGCTTGACATTTCGGCGTTTTCTAAGAAGAATCACTCTGCCTGGGGGAATCAATTTCCCCTCACATTCCCGGCGAGTAGACGTCAAAGGGGAATTTCGATGAGTCGAATTGACAGTTTTACGATCCCCTGTTAAAGCTTCCTATATTTCGCTCGTCTCCGCTCGAGATCACGAAAAGCTTTTCTTCGTCATCGTAGATACTTGAAATCGTGACACATTTACTTGTGAACTCGATTCGTACACTTTGATGCGTACAAATTGTTTCATAGAGTTATAATAATTCCACCTATAAAGTAGTTTTTAGGGAAAAAGAAAAAACAGATTTCGTATTGATTTTATATTCATTAACTTTTTAATTTATAAATTTTTTAATCATCTTCGTTTTTAATTCTTATTAATTTTAATTTTTTGATTACAATTTTATTTTCATTTTTTTTTGAAGCATATCAAGGTTTTATAGTTTGTAAATAATTTTTAAACGTAACTTACTCACCATGTCTGTTTTTGGAGGAATCGACTCGAAGAGTTCCTTCGCTCTGAATCTGATCTTTTCCATTTGTTACGCGACAAGTGTAGAAACCTACGTCAGAGACATCTAAGTTGATGATCTTTAAACGACTTCCGGCAATATTTTTCGCAGCATGTTCATGCGCCTGAGAAATAAAAACATTTTCTCTTTTTCAAATATTCTTTCAAATGTTGCAAATATAACATCAAAATTAAAATTTTTAAAAAGAAAAATGTTCTTATAAAAATAAAATTTGCAAAGAGATTCGATAAGAAGGAAAAACCTCGATTGATGTTACCTGTGCATGTATCTTCTTAATCGTGATTTTCGGTCGTTTCTCTTCAAGAGGTGCTTCGTTCTTGAACCATTTGATTTTAGTTGGCGGAGGATCTCCAACAACCTCGCATCGCATATGCGCAACACCACCAGCATCTTTCGAAATATTAGTCAAAGTGCGTATAAATTTCAACGTGCCACTTTTGGCTCCAGACACTGCCTCCATTTCAGTCCTAGAAAATTAAAAGAAAATAATTTTAACTACATTTATTAACTCTTATTAATTAGATATTTAAATACATTAATTATATTTCTTATATATACTTTCTTTAACATGAAATTACGATGTTTCTTCATTTTATTATTTTTCGAGTTATTCATCGACTCAAAATTGGATAATATAATCGAAAAGTATTGTATTAGCAAAAAAAAAAAAATAATAATAATAATAATAATCAAAGGGTTATAAATTCGTTAAAAATCTTTATTTGAGTATTTTCAAAAATAAATATATATCTGCAGATATTACGATTATTTTTAATTAAAATAATTCTCCATCCAACGTTTATACATTTCAATATTCCATTATTGATTATAAATTTAATTTTTGTACAAATGCAAAGAGAAGAATAATAAATTATTAAAAAAGATGATTTTGGTTGGAAATGTTTTTTCGAGCACCCGTTAGAGTGTTCTCATTGAAATGTATGAACGACATGTTGTCACGAGAAATTGACCAAAGAACGCGGGTTAAATTTTTTATCGGCTTCCGGTTTACATGCTCCGTTTAGCATTATTACATGCATGGAGTGGATCGACGTATGAAAATTCAACGATTATTATGCCTTGTATTTGGATTTTTACTACGTGTACCCGCTCTCGTGGAAAAATATTTCCCGCGATGGCCGGGAATTTATTGCGAAACCTGTTATACGTTTCATATTATACCGTTGTTCGAAACCATTTATTAAAATGCACAACGAATCGGGATGCTTTACGACATTTTCGAGTTTGAAAAGGGATATAAACGTGGCACACGATAAATAAAAATAAAAAATTAAAAGTATAGAAAGAGAAGTAAGGGTGAAAAAGTATTTATATAATAAAGAAAAAGATTATACATATCCATATTTTTCTTCTAGTTCTTTTATCTTCTAGGAAAATTACAATTTTAAAATTCTAAAAATAAAAAGGAAAAGAAGAAAAAAAAACACACAATCTCTGGTCCTCTCTCATCGTGATTCTCCATTATATCCCCCTGTATGAAATTGAATTTTGAACTCCATTGGTATAACGCGAACTACGAATTTTTTGTTCGTGGCAGGGTAAATTTAATCCGGCTCCAATAACCGAAACACAAAATACACTCTAACCACCACCCACTCTCCCATACTCTTCCGTTGCCATGTTAAATCATAGATGTTTATCCGTACCAATGAAACTGAATTGATTCATTGTTCGATGTTGGGCGCGGAAGATGCAGAAAAGAGGAGAGGAGAGGAGAGAGAGAGAGAGAGAGAGAGAGAAGAAAAATAAAAGGAAAGGAACGGGCTCGAGTAATAGATACAATGAACACGAGTCAGTCGTGTCCCTGACGGATTTTTATGCAACGACGATCCCACGTCAGATGCCCTCAGGGCGAGCAGTGTATCCACCCACATGCAGATCGATCTCTCGAGCCACTTCGTGCTGGCTGGACGCTAACAATGTAACTTTAAAACGAGAAAGGGATCATTAAAGGGGGCCGAGTTTTCGTGCTGAAAGTTTCGCCCGATTGATGGAATGGAATTTTGATTATGCCAATAACACGAGGGATGAAACAGAAGGGCGATGGATTCCTTTCTTTGATGAAAGAATTGTTTGTATTGATGGATGTTTCTTTGAGTTGGAATTTTTGTTTACGAAAATATCAATTTAAAGAATTAGCCTGTCTTTTTTAAAATATCTTTTTCGAAATAATGTTTTTGACAATAATACATTTCTGATTATGAACATTAAAGGATTTTTTTAATGAATTTAAAGGAAAGTATTAAAAAATCGTATTTGTTCAGGTTAGAATTATAGAATTTTTCTCCCTCTTCTGTTAAGAAAGATTTCTTTAAAGATCGAAGAAACCAGGGGAGATTTAAGGGAAGTTCGCCACGAGATGTGATCTATGTGAGAAATTATGTTAGAGACTTGTCTTCGGAGGAAGAAAAATGTTTCCTTAGAGTTAGAGTGAAAGAGATAGGAAGTCTAGAATGAGTTATTGATTATGATAATTATATATCAGGGGTGTTCGAGCTTTCGTTGCAAGATTTACGAGGTGTTGTAGTTTAAGATACGATAGAATGAATATATAAAATTGGCCCTTTTTAAATTAAAGAAGAAATCCGTGTCAAACGTCAGAAATTTTGTTAAATTTTTTATTCAAACTAAACACAATCTTCGTGTTTAACATAAATTTTAAAATTATTCATCTTATACATCATCTCACGATCATTATTCAGATTAATGGACTTTAATTATCTGATTTTTACTTGTTCTAATTTATTCTAAGAAAAAATAAACATACGAATCTGAATAGAATTTTAATATAAAAAAATTATGATCAGATACAACATCGTCCTTTTCCCAACCACTTCCATTCTCAGAAGACAGAACACGCATCCACGCGACGTATATTTACACGACTTCGTATCTGCAAACTAAGGAGGATGCCACGAGATCCTCTCGTGGAAGTTGCAATCAATCGTGACTTCCGGTCGATCTTGACACGAGGGAGAAAGTAATCGCGTATATTAGGCCAATATAAATCCGGGCACGGCGGACGTTGTCGCGCTGCGAGCGGAATATTAAGTATGAATATGTTAATGGACCGGCACCCTATTCTTCTCGCCCTCTCGCATCGCGAAATAATGCATAGCCAAGCCTGAACTTCCCCTTATCGCGGTGAGTGATGTACGATCGCCTGGGTCGCGCTATTTATCCAAGTGTTTCTGGAAATGCAGTGACCAAGATTTCATTTTTTCCTCTCTCCTTGCTCGATCCCTCGCGTGAAAATATTGGCCCTATCTTTCTCGATCGATTTTCGAGCGAATCGTATCGAACGTATAAAATTCTCAAATACAGTTTCTTCAAAATAAAAATTGGCAAATTAAACTCGTCGTACAATCGCTAATAATTAAACGAAGATTAATAATATTGTCGTCGTATATGTATAATTCGATCCTTGATCCTGAAAGTAAAATTATACATTTATTATTATTATTTATATTTCGCGAAAATTTATATTTCCAATGTTATTATTGATTATTGAAATTAATCATTCCACGATAGGAGGATATAAAACGATCGCGATACATTACAAAAGTTATTATTACATGTATATAACGAACAATATTATCGGGAGCAAAATGTAAATTTTGTCTTCCCCTCTCCTATTTATTCCACGCACGACACTCTATTTCCTTTATATGAGTCACTGTCAAAATTTATCTTCAAGTTTCGTCCCTTGAAGCTGAAGACGGTGCACAAGAGCTTCTTCTCTAATACAATGGCGAAACACGATCACGGGTAAAGGGCTTTTCAATTTGCATGCACGTCAGACGCACAGAGTCTGTTCCTGAAAATGCGAAACTATGCACAGTCGATTGTTGTTGCCTCCTGATTAATTAAACAGCAGCTTTTGCTCGCAAACAGTATACTACCGTTGCTCTTTGTTTTCGAGAGTGTTTTCAATCAATGCTGCGGCGGTCTTTTCGAACGTTTCAAAAGTTGTAAAAATATTGGCGGAGGAGAGAAAAAGACAGATTAAATCGCACAATTTTTAAAACGCACAGATGGAAATTGTTAATCGAATTTTCCGCCAAGTCTCGTTTGCCTTTTCTGATCTCACGATCAATTTCAAATTCAATCTCGATTTCCATTGGATTATGAAATTTGATGAAATTTTTTTTCTTTTTATATCAGTTTTCGTGTAGTTTCGAGTTCCTTTCTATATTCAGAGGATATAATTGAAAACTGAAAATTCGTTTCATTGTTCGATGGATTATAGATATTCAGTTTTGGGTGAATTGCATTTGTCTTTTGAATAATTAAAAAAATTTTAATTGATATGTTGAAATTAAATTCACTAACAATTTTAATAATATTAATAATTTGAAAAACAGATATCTGTAGATTAAAATATCATTCGTAGCAATCGAAGTGAAATAAAATATGGGATATTATAAAATATTCGTTAGTTATTATCAATTGAATAAAATTATATTCAATAAATTGATTCAATAAAAAAATTCCTAATCATTTAAAGAAAATAATATAATTTTTATGCCTACGAATAGGTATAATTATTCGTTAATAAGTAATTGCAATAAAATTATTAAAATCGAAAATTAAAATTATATATTATATATATTTAAAGAAAAAAATCTTATAAATTTGTTTCTCTTTCATTATTATATTCTAGAATCGACTTTTCAAAGATTACCATTCTATAAATATATTAATTCTGTATCTCGTTAATAAAATTTGTAACAGTATTATTTATCTATTACTTTCTATTAACATAATAATTCTCCAAGCTTACTTTAAACGATTACCCCAACCACTTTTAAACGATCAAACGCTCGAAAGCTCGATCTACAATAATGCCAAACTTAATTATCAAGAGCTTGCCCTACTCCTTTCCCTCACAGTCAGACTATACCACGGCGCATAATTACGAGTGATGCTATACACATGTATATCCTGTGGAGTACAGCGACCAGCCAAGGCAAGCAATAACGTCCATCAAACATCACGGAACTGTCACAGTAGCCCACACCGTTCTTAGGTATCGGCCAAGTGGAGCGCGCAAACCGGAAGCTACCCCTTGGCGCGTGGAGGCAATCACCGCGTTTGCCGACCCGTTTGTGTGTCCGTGTTCCTCGATGCACGAACACGCGAATACGCTTCCCTGTATGGGCGCGTGTTTACATTGGAAACTGATTGCACACAGCCGCGGCGAGTAATTCGACCCCCTCCCTCCCACCCTTGGTTATTGAATATAAATCAAGCTATGATCAGTAAGTCATCGGCAAGATCCGGTGCACCTGTGGCCTCCAGGGTTGACCGTTCTTGATGCACGAACCGGTTAAATTGTTGATGATATCGCCGGTATCGAGATTCCGTTTCTGATCGAAGTCGTGTCGACTAACTCGATCGATTCGATATTGAAGAAAATAAGGGGCGCGACGATCGATTCGAATTT